GGGGGGGGGGGGAATTTCAATCTGAAAAAAAAACCGGGATTGAGTGTTTGAATGCTTGCTTGTTCTGTAGGGCATCAAGGCTGTTCTAGCAGAGAGTTATGAAAGGATCCACCGCAGTAACCTGGTTGGGATGGGGGTGATCCCCCTGGAGTATCTGCCTGGAGACACAGCTGCCAGCCTGGGGCTGAGTGGCCGAGAGCGCTACTCCATCTTCATCCCCCAGCAGCTCACCCCCCGCATGACTGTGGATGTGGAGGTAGGCACCGGACACGGCCTTCTTGCTGACACCTGATTGTCTCTGAATGTGGTACCTGTTTGTTTGGCTCTACTGCTTTCACAGCTGGACACAGGGATGACGTTCAAAGTGCGCATGAGATTCGACACCGACGTGGAGCTGACTTACTTCCGCCATGGAGGAATTCTCAACTATATGATCCGCAAGATGTTACAAAACTGATCTGTCATTAGATTCTCAGCTGTAAGCTCACCTGGAGAATAATCATGTCTAAAGGTGCTCCGATCAGTTGGCCAGAGTTGAAGTTAGCTGATATTCCTTTGCTTGGTTCTGATCGGTGAGCAGCAAGCGAAATACTGGAAAATCCATCCTTATTTTTATTATCATTTCTAGTCTTTTAAATGCAACAATATTAAAAATATCTACCATTATAAACATATAAATGCATCAACTCATAATGTGAACTTTGTTTAGAGTATAAATCAGAGGAAGCATTGTAAGCATAAATATGCTGCACAATATATCAGCACTAACATCTGTATCGGCCAATATTAGTCATTTTTTTATATATGGATATCTTGTTGCTGTTTGCTTCAGGGGAGTTGGGGGCTGAGGTGGAGTTTGGTCATGTGACACTGATAGTGACGCAGCAAAGGTTTAGTAGTAGTTAGTAGGGAAGTTAGTGGTGTGGTTGAGGTTTTTTTTAAAGGTTTCAAAAGGCAAGTAAAATAGAACTCTTTCATGACATCACATCTTCTTGGTCGATACAAAATTGACCCTATAAAATATCACCACAAACTATGCATAATTTTATTACTTGTTTTGTGGTGTGGAATGTCAAGTGAAAGCACTTAGTGATGTGTGGATTCTCACTCTCATTCTCTTAAAGGAACATGACCCAAACTGTGATTACCCAAGAACTATTATCTGTCTCCATTGAGCCTTTTTCATGATCGTTTTTCGGGACCAAGCTAAGCATTGTAGAAAAATATTGGATGGATGTAATGTGAGCAGGTTAAGTGCTGTGCTGATGCTAACAGAAGGATGGAATGTGATTAACACTGTTAATCCCACAATGTTTCTGTAAGACATTTCTCTTTCTCAGTAATTGCCTTACTCTCTCAATGATGCTTTGCTCTTGTGCCTCTGAAATTGTTTGTATGGTTACATCAATGTACTTCAACGTAAGGACTCCAGATAAAAGTAAAACCTAAAGTGACTTATTTGGGGCAGTTTTATTGTTGTTTGTTCCATCTATATCTTCAGGATGACTTTTCTATATATCAAATAATAAGACAATGACAAGATGATGTGGGGATTGTTTTCCAGACAGAATGAAAAGCTAAAAGCTCCACAAATAGCCTCAATCCTGGTGGCATGCTGTTCCCACTGACGGGGACCTTCTCACTAGAATGGAACCAGAAAGCTGCTGTCACTGCTCTGCTGATATGAAGACAGGAAGTAAGAGCTTTATCTCTGATGCTCCTTCCTGTTACCCAGAGGAGTCTGAACAGAGCTTCAAAGGTCACATCATGTACAAACATGGACGACTTCAACCTAACATAAGATTTGTTCTGATGCATCAGGACTTGATGAAAAGTTTTTGGCAGCCATATTTAGCATCAGCATACTTAAAATCCTTTGATAATAAACAATAGTTTGTTGGTTTAATGGAAACATTTGGTTCTTTAGATAAGAGGTTCTCAAAGTGGAAATCTGGAACCCCAGGGGGATTGCGAGACACCGAGGGGCAGGTGTTGTAAAATGGACTTCAGAATCATAGTGATGTGACTCCTCCAGAGTATGTAGCACCAAAAGGGGCAAAATTAAATAAATATTAAATGACATAAATAAATGTACCATTATTCGTGCATTATGAAATAATACCGTAATATACATTTCAATCATTTTATAAGACATTCATTTAAAAATACGTTTTTGATCTCTATGTTTAAATAGAGAAAAATAATTATAGGTATTTTTAGTGGGTCGCCATACCAGTCATAACCTTTACTTAAAAATGTTTCTGTAACCAGTGACCTGGTTTAGAATTGATCTGACTGAATGTTCCAGCAGGACGATGATCTCAGATGCATAAAAACAAAGCAGAACATTAACAGCGACCATAAGTCATCATTAAATATGGATTTACGGTCCATAGCAGGAAAATATTGGATATTAATGACTGGATATTAACCTCTCATCATTGTTTCTGATGAGAGGAGCAGTCATTAACCCAGGACCTCATGGAAAATTCAGGACCATGAAAACCTTCATAAGAATCCTTGTCTTGACACTGAGGAGAAATAATAAGCTTCCTCAACAAGAGTCTGCTCAGTTCCTTTCACAGTTGGTGCAACTCCAACTTCCAAGCTGGAAAATTCAACTTTAACAATAATTGATTTTGGCATTCAATATGCCTGCTCCTCACATCAGCTGTGGGAAGTTAAAGTGAAAACATATTTATTTTACAAAACATACTTGTAAGCGCAGCTAAAATCAGTGCTACGTAAGTGTGGCAATGTGGCCTTTTGAGTTATTTTGTACTAAAAGCAAGGTCGCAATGCATACACTGATCTGGGAGCCGCTGGAGACAACACCAGTGAATGCACACAGGATTTGAAGAGGATCGAGTGCTGGCGAGAGGACCACGTCCCCCACCCACCTTCCGTAGCTAAGACTCTGTTTTAAGCTTTTCCGAAGACTTTTATTGACTCAGTACTTCTCAAATAGTGCCCCCCCCCCCCCCCCCCCCCGGGAGGGAGTGGCGTAGTGTCAGAGGGGGCGGAGACTTTATATTGTCTTTATTTATGCTTAACTGATAAACAAGTCTCCGGCCACTAGGTGGCAGCAGTGTTCAAACTAATCAACAGGCTCCCTGTTAAAGCCAGTAGAAGTAGACAGCCCCGTTGGAAACGAGAAGGACCTCAATGCAGCAATCAGTGTACTTCTAAATCTGCTCCTTTGGTCGCATCTTTTCGGGCTTGCGACTGCCTCTAGTGGGGTGGGGGTGGTAACACAACTAATT